GACCCTTCCAGACCCGAAACGTCAGCCTTCCTGCTCCTCCGATGCTGCTTGGCCTGCAGTGTTCATCCAGCTCTACACCTTGTTATCTCAGATTCTCCAGCTTTGGCAGTTCCTACTATCCCAGAATCTATCCAGCTGTGGGAAAAATTATCCAGGCCTGACTTGAATACAAAAAGATAGACAAATCCAACTCAACTAAGTACCACCCTATCAATCCAATCTCAATTATCAGTAAAGTGATGGAAGGGATCTTTGACACAGCTATGAACCAGCACTTTCTTAACAATAATCTGCTCACTGTTTGGGTCTGCCAGGGCCACTTAGCTCCTGACCTCATTACAGTCTTGGTGCAAACATGGACAAAAGAGCTGAATTCCAGAGGGGAGGTGAGAGTGACAGCCCTTAACATCAAGACTGTATTTGACTTGACATAGCATCAAGGAGCCCTACCAAAACAGGAATCAGCACATCACATGAACATTAAAAAGTTGTGTAATAAATTAACCTTTGCTCATGTATAAACCTAAAGCTTTGCTGTTGGTTATTTTTAAATTGGAACATGCAAAAAACTAACAGTGAGCAAAACAAGCTATTTAAGTCTCTAGTTCATAGGCCTCTCTGAGGAAGATGCCTGGTGAGTTTGTGATATAGGCAAGGCAATAGAAGAAAAGATAATTCTGAAGAAGGGTCACTGGACCCAAAAGGTTATCTCTGCTTTCTCTCCACAGATGCTGCCTGACCTACTGAGTTTTTCCAGCAATCTCTTGTTTTTGAAGAATATATATGACAAAAAGAATGGCTTGTGTTTATGTAATGCCTTCCTTTCATGAGAAATAAAACTCTGTCCACCAGCTACAAGGTACAAGTCTGGAGTGTGACGGAATGTCCTCCACTTGTCCAGATGAGTGCAGCGCCAACCATACCCAAGAAGCTCAACAACATCCAGAAGAACGCAGCCTGCTACATCATTACCCTACCCACCTCCTTAAACATTTCTGAAACCTCCTGAAATGCTGATGCACAGTGGCAGTAATGTGTGTCTTATACAAGCTGCATTGCAACAACTCATCAAGCCTCTTTTAACAGCACCTTTCAAACCTGTAATCTCCATCACCTAGAAGAATAAGGGCAACAGAGACATGGGAGCATGACTACCTGCAAGTTTCTCTCAAGCTACACACCAACGTGATTTGGTACTATATCACGCTTTCTTCATTCTATCTGGGCCAAAAACCTGGAATTTTCTTCCTAAAAGCACTGTATCTAGATTTCAGCAGTACAAGTTGCTCAACACCTTCTTAAGTGCAATATGGAATTTGCTTACAATGCCCATACCCATTGAATCCATAGAATCCATAGAAACAGGCCATTCAGCCCAACAAATCCACACTGTCTCTCCAAAGAGCATCCCACCCAGACTCACTACCCCTCCACCCTATATTTCCCATGACTAATCCACGTAATCTAGACATCCCTGGGCACTATGGGCAATTTAGCATGGCCAATCCACCTAACCTGCACATCTTTGGACTGTGGGAGGAAACCGGAGCACCCAGAGGAAACCCACACAGACACGGGAAGAACATGCAAACTCCACACAGACAGTCACCCAAGGCTGGAATAGAACCCAGGTCCCTGGCACTGAGGCAGTAGTGAGCCACCATGCTGCCTGAAAGAGTAAGAATACTGCACCTTAAACACAATGAAATACTTTGTACATGTGGCTATGGTTGTAAAACAGCAGTCAAACTACACACAACAGTCTCCCATAAAAAGCAATGTGATAATGACTAGATTATCTATCTTTAGCAATGTTAATTGAGGGATAAATATTTGTCAAGACACCAAAAGTGGTTTTGGATTACTTTCAAAAGGATCCAATTCAAACAGTATGGATCAAATGGCCTTCTGTGTTTTAAACACAATGTTTCTATCCTACATTGGGGAAAAAAAATGTGTACTATAAGGGTCTTCACCACTGTAAACATCCCAAAGCATTTCCTAGAAATGTTACCGGACAAATGTGGAGACAAAAGAACTGGTAAACAAAAACTTGATCAAAGATATTGTTTTTAAGAAGCATCTTAAAAGAGGGACAAAGAAAGGGAAGTTTAGAAGGGATTTATTGAGCTTAATTAAAGGAAGGCAGATTTCTCAAAGGGTTGGAGGGCTGGAACATGTTACATATATCAGAAGGGGGAAAGACTATGGATAGATTTGAATAAAGGATGATGTTTTCTTTAATCAGCCATCTTGTACCATTAAGATGAAAGAAAGAATTTCACACCCTCACAACATACCAAAGTACTTTATAACACTTTAAAAATTATTTCACTGCCTGTAAATAAAAAAATGTAACAGCAGATTTATGCAGAGCAAGGTGCCAATAAACATGGTAAATGACTAGACTTGGTGTATTAGTGATTATACCCGAGGGGTGAAAAAAATTGGTCAGAGCATCAAACAGAACCTGACTGCATCTTTGAAATAGTGTCAATGAAATTCAATATCCATCTGAGAGAGCCTCATTTTAACATCTCATCTTAAAGCTGAGTTAGGCATTAATGTCCACATTGCTTTGGTCAAATTTTCCTTTGTGATGGTTTTACCAGTGCTTTTCCATCATGTTATACATCATGTTACATGTACAGAAAATCCCTAGTGAAATGGAGATAGATGTACAGTGATTAGGAGTTATCCTTCACTGAAGAATGTATTTAGCTAGAAATTTTGATTAAAATGTACTGTTTAACATTGGTGAGAACCTATGATGTCTAGATATCATGGAATGACATTGCAATACGTTCTACTGCCTACCCTTACTGGGTGCACTGAAAATTGTCTTACTGTCTGCTCTGAACTGCAATATTGAGGATCTGCCTCCTCAAAGGTCATATTAAAGTCAACGTAATAGTTACTATTTCATCTTACATCCACATCATAAGATTAATATCTCTTTATGCAAGTTAAATGAGAATGAACACGATAGATCAGAACCATAGCCATTTGGACTAGCACACTATATATATAGATATATACACACATATATAAATAAAATCAATTAATTTCCTGTACAATGTGAAAAATCTCCATCTAATGGTTCCAGTGGGCCACTTAGAAGGTGATTTTTACAGGCAATTTGCACTGCACATCTAGTAGTGAACTAAAACAGTTTCACAGCAGTATCTTACTTAAAATGAGTTCAGTGAAAACCCCTTGATAATTTAATCTCATGAAAGTGTTTGATCCTATGCAAGGAATGACACATCCACCAACTTAAGAAATGTACTAACTGCTTGAGTTAGTTGAATAGTGCTGTCTCACCTTAGATGTGGCACTGAATAATCAACACGCAAAAATATGTTAATAGCTACTTTTAAATCCCTTACTGCATTTTTAAAATAAAGTACTGCACAATTCTGATTTTAATTTCTCATACCACACCATTAAGTCATATATTAATTCACTGAGTTTGCAGTATTAACAGAAAAAAAATTGTATTTAATGTCAGCAGAAATTGATAAGTCCTTGAATGAAAGTGGTAACTTTATGCGCATATTACTGTTGTGATTCAATCAATAATAACAGAAAAGGTCAAAGACTTCTTTCTCTATGAATCAAGCAGTCAGCTCACCCCAATGAAAACAACATTCCCACTGACTGCAGGATGCAAACCAGATGCTCTCATCACTATTAAGATGAAATGAAATTAAGGCTTTTTATATCCATCCAGTTGGTCACGGGCAAACATGGTAAGTTGCCCAGCTTCTTTGATGTAGTGAAGCGAAGAGAACAAAACTCGACTGGGAATTAGAGCGGCTGAGTGTGTGGAGATATTAAAGGAAAGGAAATCCTCTTATGAAAGCCATGTGGGGGCGGGGATGAGCACCAAGCACTGAACCGCTCTCAATTTCTCAAACATCTGGTGGGATGTCAAGAAAGGCCTGGTTAACTCTTACCGTACACATACACACACAAACACTCAGACAAACAGAGCCCGGGGGCTGAGAAAGCCTTTACAAGCAGCTTATGAATCGGAAGCTCGAAGTGTATTGAGAATACTTGATGCTTAGGCCCAACAAATTCAGTAGGCGAATGTTTTTAATTCCATTCATTTTTGCGGGCTGCAATAGGAAAGAGGGGAATAATACAAATAATCTCGGGAAGCAAAACATTTCCCAAATATGGAGAACCTGATGGCCCCATTCTCCCCGTGTGCTTTCACTGGACTCTTCCTAATTCCCAGCATGTTTGACTTTTAGAGGTTGCTTCAGGGCTGTTCCAAAAGGGATTTTGATACTAACATGGTCCTGACCTTGCGGGTACAAGAAGCAGTAGGATTTGGAGTTAACTGGCCTGACAACTGAAGGGGAAAATGTGGATCCGAACAGAATACCCTCTCTCTCTCTCCTTCTCGCTGCTCGGATCCTTGTGATGGCGACAAGAGATCAGATTCCACACGTCCCTGTGGTGAAGCCAGCACCAGCAAATCCCAGCCCTTGCCTGCTCTGATCGAGCTGCATCTAGCCGGATCAGATCTTTGGAGCCGGCAGAGCGGTGCCAGCAAACTGAACCCAGACAGATCTTGCTTTCCTTCTCCTCCTGCTGGCTTCTCTTTCCCTCCCTAGTTGGACTCTCTATCGTCCTTCGATTTGAATCTCTATTCCCTTCTCTCCTGTTTCTTTTCACTCCCCCCCCCCCCACCGCCCCCCAATCTTTGATTTCTTTGCCTTTCTCTATTTCTTCAATCATAATTCCCCTTCTCTTCCCCCCACCCGCTACATCTTCTTCCAGCTTCCCCGCTCCTCCTAGCCCCGTGCGCCCTCGCTCTCCGCTGGTCGCTGTCCGCCTCTTGGTGCTGAAACGTTCCCTTCAATGCAGCTCTGCAGCAGTGAGTGGGGAGCAGAAACCTGGGAACAAAACCAGCCTTCCCGAAAGGAAAACCCCCCCAAAAAAAAGCCGTGGCAGGGAAGTAAAGGTCATTCTTCTCCGCCTCTTACCTTTTCCTGGGCCCTGTTCAGCCGTTTCTGAACGTTTTTAGCGAAGACTCCTGTTTTGATGTTGTCCGCCATGGCTTTAGATGTGCACTTGTCCCAATCCCTGGGCTGTACTGGAGCAGGCGGCCACAGCTCCAACTCTTAAAGGAACCTCAACCCACCCTACACACATATACGTATGCAGATACACACAGGGCAAAATACTGTACACATGTATTTATGCATACAAGTTTATCTATATAAACAAATTGTAACTAAATCCAATTCATTACGCGTTGAGTTATTCACGTGACAAAGCGCAGTACGAAAGCAATTATTTTACCAGTAAACAAGGATATAAACAGACAGTATTATAGAATCATCCTCCAAATGTATTCGTACAATCAGAAGAATGCAAACACCTACACATATCTGAGCATTTGTGTAAATATACAAATGTAAGGAAATATTTCCTGGAAAGCAAATTATTTCACTCTTACTAATTTATTACACTGTATAAATTGTTCACATTTCGAACCCCGTATTCATATATTTCAATGGTATATGCACGCTATATTTGTATTTATAAATGTAAATCCATGCATGGAGATTCAGAACCAAGATTAACCGTACTAAATTTGACACGTGGCATGAATGCATACACTGTCCAATCTGTAGTATTCCCTAAGGTGAAGTTGGTTACTGCTACTGTATGTACTTTTAATTCATTTACATGCGAAATTACTGCTACTGGGAATGTTGAGAATAATTCACAAAGTGGCGTTTATTTGTGGATTTCATTCTGCTCCACATCACAAATCACGTGAATTTCCATTTCCCATAAAAATTGCACAGAGGAAAAATAACAGCTTAATTTACCAAATGCTAAAGGGTCTTGAGCCCACTAACCTATGTTCCTCAAGCATGATTCCAAATCCTGTCCTTGTATGTTCCAAAGAGGCACCTTTGTGGGAGATAGTTCAATGTTGAATTACTTGATATTGTTCAGCAGAATAGGTACTAGCAAACCTTTTCCTAAAAGCAATAAAGAAATATATTAATAATTAAAGGAGATCTTCCTTTGGGAGGTGGTAATTGAAATTCATTTGGTCAAAATAGGAAAATTTATCTTGCATTCACAATTTAGCTCTTTATTATGATTATTTACTTAATAAATTTTCAACAACAGATATCATGGAATATTTAGCTATTTGAAGTTCTCCACCCTCATGAAAGTCAACAGGTTGCATTGGCTTCTGCTTCCTAGTGACGTCAACATACAATCTTGCCAAAACAGACTATGTTGGTTTATGAGTTGATAAGCACTACATAATCATAAAAAGAACAGGTATATATTTGATCCAACAATGTCTGGACCAATTGCCAAAGATCTTGATTCCTCTGAATACTGGTTATGATCATTTGGCCATCGATTGAGATCTGACCTAATCACTATATTAGGATGTCTGTTTCTATTAAATGTTGAAATTCACTTTGTGATATCTCAGGAATTCAATTCACTAACTGTCCCTGGGAATTATTTCCAAGTGAGTAACAATAAACAAAATATTCAGTTTTATTCAGACTGTGGAAACAGTCACATATGAATATGCTAGCACTATTATTGCTGCTTTCAGGACCCCTACGTTTTCTAGTTGTGTTGCCAGGTCCCACACCAAGTGCTTCCAGACACCATTAAAATGCAATTATTCAAATTATTTAATCCAAAGCCAAACTGAAGCTGGATAGCAGGTTCAGTAGCAGAAATATCACACCATCTCCTCATTTCTCCATTTATTTGGAAGTGGGTCTTAGATCTGAAAATTGCTTGCTTCAGATAGTTGGGCATAAGCTTTGCTGCTTTTCACTGAAAGCAGGCTGTAGTATTTGTTTGTTTGGTATTTTGATTGTGTGATTGAACAGAGGCAACAATATAGAATCATTCCACTAGCAGTACTTAAACAATTAAATGAATACCTCCACATACACAAAAAATATAGAAATATATGTACAAAAATACATGCACAGAGACAAACAATTGCAAGCAGAAGCTTGTTCTTCATTCTCTGTGTGTGATTAGTAAGGAAATGAAACTGAAGTAAACAGCTGAAAGGATGGGAGCAGACATTTTAAAGTGCTGATTAAAACTCCTGTTTAGACATATAATCTGAACTTTATCATTGCTGCATATTTTCAAGACATAAAACATGAACAAAAACAATTTGGATAATGGAGAAGAGTTTAACTTTATCCTGCACTTCTTTCTTTGCTAGGAGATCCACCCATGCCATAGGATCAATTCATTTAGGAGTTCAAGATCTACTCACTTACTACATGGATACAGAAGCTACCTGCAATATGGTGATACACATGCATTGTCTTAGAGCAGAAAGTCAGACAGTATTCGAACAGTCCATAGAAGATATGTCTATGTGTGATACAGCAGTAAGTGCTCTTGCAAAATACTTCAAGCCAAAGAAGATGAGTTGATCCTAAGATTTATGCTCTGTCAGAGGTGCCAGAAGATAAAGTATTAGGATCAGATACCCTTAAAACAGTTCCCAAATTGTGGAAGTACTAACAAATTCATAATAGCATTCCAGATTGAGGGTAACTCCTGCTTTGAGTGAATCTCTTTGCAAGGATATGCAGGTCACAGAAAAGAACTATGGTTTGACACTGAGGAGTCTCTTCATATGAGTGAGGTATAGCAAGAAGATACCATCACAGGTGGTAAAGTACCAGCTAATTTTAAGGAATCACCAGCTGATATCATAGGCATCTGAGCATCGATTCTTGGTAATATTGACACGAAAGTATCGAAATTGAATAACAACTCCACCATCAATTTTTTTTGCAAAATTCTCTATGATTGACTTTCTTAAAACTTATAAAGACTTTACTAGAGATTGTAAGAACTGCCGATGCTGGAGTCGGAGATAACACAGTGTGGAGCTGGAGGAACACAGCAGGCCAGGCAGCATCAGAGGAGCAGGAAAGCTGATGTTTCAGGTCAGGACTCCTCTTCAGGAATGGTTTCAGAAATTTCTGAAGGGTTCCGACCCAAAACGTCAGCTTTCCTGCTCCTCTGATGCTGCCTGGCCTGCTGTGTTCCTCCAGCTCCACACTGTGTTACCAAAGCGGTACTGTTCCAGTTTTGGGATCAATCATACTTGCAATTTACAACAAAACCAGCACCGTTGTCAAGTTCAGATTTTTGTAGCCAAAGGCAGAATTCTCAATGGACAAAGCTTTGCAATAGACATAAAATACAAAGAACTGCAGATGCTGAAAATCTGAAACAAAAAATGGAAATTGATGGAAAAATTCAGCAAGTCTGGCAGCATCTGTGGAGGGAAAGCAGAGTCAACTTTTCATGTCGAACGGTCACTGGACCAAAAGCTTTGCAGTACGATTGACTTCAAACTTGCAGACCCCACTAAAATGCACACGAACATGATTGATGACATTGATTATTCTCAATAGTTTGCTTCCTTATTTATTGGATTTGGGGAGATTAAGCAGTACTGTTACACTCCTCACATCAACACAAACGTTCCACCAGTTTCACATATTTTGAGATGATTGCTATTTGCAATTCATGCTGAAGTGTCACAGGAGTTGAAACAACCCAAAGCAGATGGTATAATTGAGCAAATTGACTCATTGCCACGGATTTGAACTCAGTTATTATGAAATGCAAAATGGATAATTTAAACATTGTGGCAAATTTAAGGCAGACAACAAAGCAATCATTTCAGACAAGAATCCACTTCCTATGATCCAACAATTATTAGCATCATTTCATGACTTCACAGTCTTCTCAAAGCTTGACATGAGGAGAAGAATCTCCAGACCCAACTGGAGCAGCAAAGATTAAAGGTTTAGTTGCTCATGAAGAAGTGTTCAGTACTGCAGAATGTCCTATGGACTAAGCTCAGCACATAGCACATTTAGACACTGAGGGGATGCAAAACCTACTTAACAATGTCACTGTCTATAGAAGGGGGCAAAAAGAAAAAAAAAGATCAGCGGTTTTTAAGTCACTTTACTTGAACAACACAGTCTAATGATCAACAAGTACAATTGTACATCCACAGTGTGCAAGATTGACTTTCTGGGCCACAGAGTAATTGCAGCTCGAGTAAAGACTCGTATGCTTCTGACCCCACCTAACATGAAAGAACCTAACATCATTCCTCAGTACTACCAACATTTTATCACAAAATTGTTCCTAAGTATGTGGAGGCTCTTTGAAATACTGTATGCAAAGGCACACAGTAGGATCAGACAATGTTAACATGTTTGATACTTTAAAGGCAAAGATAGCAAAAGATGGTTATTGTGCACTTCAATCCAAATGCAGAAAGCTATGTCACAACAAATGTGTCAGGGAAAATGATTGGAACCATTTCTCACAGTACACCTATGTTTGGAAACTGCACACAAATATTCTACTGGAGAGTGGGAAGCACCAAATGGCATCTATGTTAATGAACATTGCCACACATATCTCTGTATTAGAATTCTCACTCTCCACACCATTCCACAAATGCTGACTACATTATTAACCACATCAGGATCTATGTATTTATAAACGGTCTGATCATCTAGATGATAAGACTTTGAAGTTGAATATTTAGTTTCAATCATCCATTCATACCTTTGCATGTCCACCTCACACATTCTGACAAGAAGGGCATCAGTTGAAATTCTGAGTGGTCATAAATTTCAAGTGGTACTGACCATTTTTAAGGCAGCAAAATTATCCAAAAGAGTCAGATAAAACCAGGAGAAATTGTAAAGTGATCAGATAAGATAGAAACAAACGTCACAACTAAACACATGCAAGAAAACCATGATTTGATTTTTGCATCAAATGATTAAATCATGACAACAAATGCACATCTGCCCTATTATGAATTGGTCATTGCCTGGCATTTGTGTGGCATGTAATATTCATGCTACACCATTGCCAGGCAATGACCATCTCCAGTAAGAGACAATCTAACCACCACCCCTTCAATCAATTGTGTTGCTATCACTGGATCCCCCACTATCAACATCCCTGGGGTTACCATTGACCAGGACCTCAA